TTTCGTCCCGGCTCTCCCTACGTGTGTATGTGTGGTGTCAGGTGTCAGTATGAGAGGATGACAGCGGGTCTAATTTTGATGTGGCCCAAGAGCCAATCACAATAATACCTTCGATGCAGTGAACCAATCACCTTTGAGGGGGGAAACCTATCGTTGATTAAACATTATCCAGTGTTTCCCCTACCATTGTCTTGGAGGGGCGCTGCACCCCGCCAATGGAGCCCCGTGCACCCCTGAAATTCAAGGTGTTTAAAAAATATATATAATTTATTTTTATTTTTAATATATATAGCACCAAATTGCAAATAATCTATATCTACTGTCACTTTTCACATTGACCATGTTCTCTTTTATTAAATAAACTAAACGCTTTCATTTCAAGTTGTGAGTTTAGTGTTTTTGACCCTAAGAAACACTGATGCATTAATCAATAACAATAATCCACAGCTCCTCTCTCTGCTCCAGAGGATTTAAAAAATATATATCCCAAAGCCACAAAAATGCATCAGTGACGTGGTTGAAATCTTGTCTCCAGAAAACAAAAAACTGAAACAAGCGGTATCAGTGACTGTGTGTTTGATGTGGCTCTTTGCAGTAACATAGAACAAATGTGGCTCTTAACCTCTGACTGGTTGGCCACCCCTGGTCTAATGCATTTAGTAAACAATGTATATATATTTCAACTGTTAAGTGGTTTTCTCTTCATTTTATTTAAATTATGAGAGATCAGATTGCTATTCATTATTTTCAATTCAAACCTGCAGTGATAGGAGGGATTATAATACACACACACACTTTAATGGTACTTCACTCCCACACAACATCCTCACTTTGGTTACACCACCCACTCACTTCGATGGTACCACACACACATTCACATGCACACACATACATACACCACCCACTCATTCCGATGATATTGCAGATTGAATAAACAGAGTGAGGGTGGAGGGGATCGAGGTAGAGATGGAAATAGTGAGAGCTATGTGCACATATTGCTTTAAGGCAACTGCTCATTTGGAGTATTGCAACTGCCAAATCGCTAAACAAAACACACACAAACACACCCTCACACAGATCTGTTACTAAAAAAACGTAACTGAACCCTATCCAACCATATGACCTTTACCATACCATCGCAAAAATCAAACCAAATCAAACCGTCAAGTTTAGGGACAGAGAGAAAATGTCCAAAAATACAGATATATCACTTGAAGCAGATTTTTTAAAGTAAAACATTTCAACCATATTCTATGCAATCTTTGGAGAAGGAGGGATACTCACACTTTCCATGATGACGCTGTACATATTAGTGAAATTAATAATGATATTGATACGACAATAAAATGTGTACTTACAATATGCTCAAGTATATTCAATAAAACAAACCTAAAGCAAAAAAAGAAAATGGTTCCCCGAGGATTAATCGCACCACTTGTTTTCATATTCACTTTGATTTTGCGGTCACTAACAGTTTTTTTCTGTGCACATTTATCTTAACTAGTAACTAAAGCACATGACGTCAACACTGATGCAAAAGTAATCCAATTCACTGGTTTTGTCACTGGAGTTTTAAGGAGGGCCAGACGACCCTGAAAAAGCGAGCACTTGTTGGTGTAATAAGTTGGAAACAGTTTTTCCGGGGTTGCTAACAGACACCAGAAGACCAAATATTTGAAATGTTCATGGTGTTATTTATTTAATAGGATCCATTACATTTCAATGACTTGTGCAACCCTGGTTCTTACTTATAATAACAAAATAAAAGCACTGATTACATAACATTTAACTTAGCTGACTCACAATAAGTGCATTCAACGATGAAGAAACACTCATGTCATTTCCTATCTCTAAACCCAACCAGATTAAGTGCTACTGCATTAGCTTCACTTCGAGCCAAATCCTTTGTAAGTGTTAAGATCTTTTTTTCTGTAGGCACAATTACTGTGTGAGAATCGAACAGCTGCAGGTTCTGGTGTCTGCTGTGCTCTGAACTGAAACTGTCTGTCCAGTTTTGGAAGATGCCTCCCCCTCTGCCCTCTTGATGCCCTCATATACTCATCTCAGGCTGACTCTGGTGGAGCTGGTGCGCTGCCAATGTGCCTTAATTATTTATAGTATACATTAAATATCCATGGAAAGCAAACACGCACACAAATGGTTTGATATACATAACACTGGGAACATTTCTCCACATCTTTCTCTGTCATGTTCACCGGTTTGTCTTTTCTATCTCTCCCTTTCTCATCGCTGTGGCAGTGTCCTGGACTCATCATGTTACTGCTGAGGTCAGCAGCCATGTAGTGTACCTGTGGAATCTACCTGTAACAGCGGCTGAGCATTAAGTTACACTACAGGCTGCAGTTAGCACCTCACAGATCTTCTCATGCTGTGTGTTCATTCAGTTACTTACTCCCTTTCATGTCGTGCATTATGAAAACTTGCACACTGTATACATGTCAACTGCGTATAGTCTCAAATCGCATTCAGCTGCTGTGCGCTCTCTGGAAGTGACAATTACTGCTGTTGGCTAGCTATCAAAGGTATTGTTAATTCTACCAAATCAAATGCAGTTTGCTCAATTGAACCATTCAAATGAACAATGGACTTTTTTGGACACAAATATAGTAGTTTGTGTATAAAAAACAAATAAACACATGTTTACTCTAACTTTTATTTGTATATTTCAGTTACATAGCAACGATTGTTGAGTGTGAGACGTAACCATCTGGGTATTCATAATGCATTTTGCCATAGTTTGCATTTGGCTTCACCTATGGCCTCAAAAAAGCACACAAAAGTCTAGAAGTCTGCCAATTGAGACACAGCATGAGCCAACAGGAGCTATCACAGTCAATGTAGTTGGACTGAGAAGGATTAATTGGGCTGCTGAACGATACAAGTTGACACAGAAATTGTTCAATAACCTGCCTTACAATGGCTTTTATGTTAATTCAGTTTCTGCAGAAAAAGTCCCTGAACGTCTCCGACTGCCATCTATTTCTCCGTAATGTTGTGAGCCGT